TTAAAGGGGAATGATCCAATTTACAAAAAAAGCGTGCCAGATGAAAGGAGTATATAAATATTTATTATAAAAAAATAATAATATTAATCCATACATTTTTCCAAAGGTTATATAAAATATAAATTAAATAATATAACATATAATATCGAGAATTTTTTCACGGAAATCGTACGTTTTTCTTTAACTTTGATGTCCGTTTTCACCACGAAGACAAGTCCAGAGGTTAAATTTTTTTTTTTTCAAATTAAAGTATTTACATAAGCTTTAATTTAAGATATATATAAAAGTGTCAGTCTTTCCGGAACATTTTCAAAAGTTAAGTTGAAAAAGTTCTACTTTCTATACGCATTTTAAAAGGTTTGCACCCCCCCTGTATAAAGGGAAATGGTCCGATTTTAAAAAAAAGTATGTCGAATGAAAGAAGTATATATAAAGTATTTATCATTAAAGAATAAAGTTGATTCATGCATTTTTTAAAAAGTTATAGCAACATAATGTTAAAAAATGTAAAATATAATATCAAGAATTTTTTCACAAAAATAGCATATTTTTGCATACGGTAGTCATTTTCACCATGAAGACAAGTCCAGAGGTCAAATTTTTTTTTTTCAAATTAAAGTATATTACATTACCTTTAATTTAAGGTATATATAAAAGTGTCAGTCTTTCCGGAACATTTTCAAAAGTTAAGTTGAAAAAGTTCTACTTTCTATACGCATTTTAAAAGGTTTGCACCCCCCCTGTATAAAGGGAAATGGTCCGATTTTAAAAAAAAGTATGTCGAATGAAAGAAGTATATATAAAGTATTTATCATTAAAGAATAAAGTTGATTCATGCATTTTTTAAAAAGTTATAGCAACATAATGTTAAAAAATGTAAAATATAATATCAAGAATTTTTTCACAAAAATAGCATATTTTTGCATACGGTAGTCATTTTCACCATGAAGACAAGTCCAGAGGTCAAATTTTTTTTTTTCAAATTAAAGTATATTACATTAGCTTTAATTTAAGGTATATATAAAATTGTCAGTCTTTCCGGAACATTTTCAAAAGTTAAATTGAAAAAGTTAATTTTTTGTAAAAAAGTTACCATTTTGAAACCCTTCCTGTGGGGCTGTTAAAGGGNAAAAGTTACCATTTTGAAACCCTTCCTGTGGGCTGTTAAAGGGTCAAATGTTCACAAAAATATATAAAATGATAGGTAAACATCTAAGATATTTATAAAAAAAAAATTATATTGATTCGATCATTTTTAAAAAAGTTATGGCACTTTTAAGTAAAAAAAATTGAAAAAATATCGAAAATTAGCGATTTTTAAATTTGTAATTTTTTGGGGGATTTCCCCCGTTTACGGGGAACGAGGGAATTTTTTTCAATTTTTGAGGGTAATGTCTTCGACTAGATACGATTTTTGATCTTTTGACATATTGTTCATTAAAATCGGTCCAGCGAGTGCTGAGATTGAACGTTCACAGACACAAAAAAAAAAATAAAAAAAATAAAAATAAAAAAAAATAAAAAAACACATCATAGTAAAATTAATACCTTCTCAGCTTCGCATCGAAGCTAAGATAATAATACTAAACACTACCCTGCTCCTGCCTTTTTTATACCTTCAAATCTCACTACATACTTTGAAACTACCTTCTTCATAATAAAAAATGACAGTGACTTTAAAGCTCGTCTTATTAAATTTTTCTGAGAAAATTCTCGATTGTTTTTGTTTAATAGACTGTATAATTATATATGTTACAGTAAAAGATGTTAAATTTATATTGACGTTATTAACTAGCAATTAACGTTAATAGATAATAATGAATACTTTACAAGCTTTATAACGTTAATTACTAAGGATTTACGATAATTCCAAACAATATTAGTTAATCATGTTATTTATATTTACATTTTTATATTATTATTTATTTTCACATGATAATGAACTATGACATTTCGAATTGCATAATTTCCCAACTACTTGACAGGTGCATTTATTTGTTTTACACTTCATCTTACAGTGACATCTTTGATAGCCTTGTGTACCCATAAGACTACTACATCCTGCTGCTTCTCGAACTGTAATCTCTTTTTCTTTAGATGATTCAAGCAGGGTTTTGGGATCAAGTAAAATTTCTTTGCATGGCNTATATTGAATTTTAATACAGCTCAAAGAAAATTAACACAATGATTTAACATACAAAAACAATATGGCGATATTATGGCGATGTCGATCCGATGCGTACCGTGAAAGACTGACAAAATATTATCTATAATAGTTATTATATTTACAATAAAGCCCTACATTAGTAAGCCCCACTAAGCTTATACTATCTAGTATTTAATACCATTAAGATAACATTATATAACAACATTTTCCATCGGTGTAGAAATTATCGATAATCAAACCAAAAAATTAATAAACCACGATAATCACTAGTTTGTTTGGTAATTATTGTTATTTACTAGTTAATAACGTCAATATAAATTTAACATCTTTTACTGTAACATATACATTTTATAAAATGTTTCTACTAGATTTCACAAAAAATAAATATCGAACCATTTTGTGAGTAAAAATTTCACAATGTAAAAAAATAATCATATATGGATTCGAAAATTTTATCAGTTAATTTGATTTATTAGTCAAGAAATATAATTGTAATTATGGTTCAGTTAAGGGGTACAGCGATACAAACCATTCCCTAAGTCTCCCCTAGTTGAAATCAATAAACATTTAAAATTACTATCAAAGCGTTTAAAATTACTATCATAAAACGCTTTGATGTGAAAGTGGAGGAAGACAGATTTGTATTTTTTTTGTGGTAGGTTGATTTTTATTTAAATTACATAGAAGTTTGAGTCAAAATATGTTTATAGATAAGCACTATTTAGTGAAAACAATTAACTGAAGGTTAATTTTATTATACGAAAATATTTGCAACATTTTTATCAGAAAAAGATAAAATACCATTATGTGATAGTAAAATTTAGTATGACTTTTTCATTACAAGGAAATGAAACATTGTCTAGATAGAAAATGTTCATTTTTTTTTTATCTCTCAAAATAAGATAGTTCCAACTAGAAATTTTATTCTAACTATTGTTTATTTAGTTTACAGTGCTTAAAACCTACAAGTTACCATACAAGTTTCATGATTTATAACTTATAAATATATCAAAGTTGTTACGATTTAAACACTAAGTGTTAAAAAAAGGATGTTGAACATCAAAAATATCAAAATTTACATAAGTTCTATGGGACGTTTTAAACGTGTTAAACTGTTTACTTATATTTTAAATATACTTTTAGCAGTTCTATTTTTAAGTACAATATATGATTAAATACTTATTATATTTAGCATAAAATAGATATTCAGTAATTTAATATTGTAATTTTTACGAAAAAATTCAAAAATAATATAGAAACTACAAATTTTTTGCCTCTATTGCAAATATATCTTAAAATTTAAAAAATAGATTTATCAAAAAAAAAAAAATGTGAAAAAAAATTAAATTTAGTATTAAATTGATGTCCCATAATTTAATGTTAGTATCAAATTACTTTATTTAGATCAGTTTAGTGCTGTAATTTCTACGGAGAATTTATATATATATAAAAAGAAAGATCGATGTTCTGACAATAGTAAGTTAATTATAATTTTAGTTATGAAATTATAATTGTAATTTATCATAAGTCATTGGTCGCTAGAATATTTTTTTGAATAGGCAGCACTATTCCTTGTAGTATACTTATTGGATTGATATTGAAGCTGCAAAAATGATTTCTGAAAATATTTATAATTTACACTTAAAGCCAATTCATATTTTTTTGTAAATAGGAGGGTGGTTAAATAGAGTACTTAATTTCCCTCCTATATGCTTATACTGATTAATCTAAAATACAGATATAAAAAAAAGAAGAAAACAATTTTTAGTGAATTAAGTAAAAAATTATGGCAACACGAAAAACAGTGATTTGTTACGCAAAACTAACATTCTTTATTTAACTTCAGTAGCCATAAGGTGTCGAGCCAATTTGTTAGTTTAGTTTTAAGAGATCTAATTTTTAAACGTGTTTTAAGTATTAAACTCTCTTGTGGGCAGGTAATGGGTCAAATTTCAAAAATTTATATATTTAATAAAAGTAAAATATTTAAGGAATTCATAAAAAAAATTGTGTTAGTTCATCCATTTTTCAAAAACTTTTGGTAGTTTTAAGTTAAAAAAAAGTTTTTAAAATGTCGAAATTTAGTTATTTTAAAAATTGTAATTTTTTAGGGGATTTTTCCATTTATAGGGAATAAAAGAATTTTTTTTTAATTTTGATTGTAATGTATTAAATTATTTACGATTTTTAGATCATTGAATAAAATAGGCGTAGTAAGAGCTAAGAAAAGTGAATGACAGGCTCAAAAAAAATTTACATGATAGTAAAATTAATACTTTCTTAGATTCGCGTTTAAGCTAAATTACGAATATCATTTTGTCAAGTTACAATCTCGTTCCTTCAGTGATTATATTTATTTTGAATAAAAATTTTTATGCTTTTAGTTACTGATCAGCAAAAAAATACTAATATCAATACTTTTTGCAATCATAGTGATGATCTCGTTCTTGTTGACTCAGTATTTATCTTGTTTTTGGATTTCTACAAAATAAAGACCAAAATCAATTATGCTTATCACTAAGTTTAATAAAAAAAAAAAATTCTTAATGTTATATTTTACTATAAGATGATTGTACTTTTTTTATTGACTCTCGATATTTATTATTTTTTATTTCTAGTAATTATTTTATAACTAGCTCATAAAAACTATATTTGCTTAAAAATTAAAAACTGTTAAATAATAAATTGTGATCATGAATACTCGAATAAACGTTTATGATTGCGTATACTGTATATTATTTATAGGTACATTCTTTAGCTGGTGTTTATAAGTAGGATTTTTAATTTTTTTTCGGATCAAGCAATGCTTTTGTCACATGATGGGATAGGTGAACATTAACCACACGGTGTATAGCTTCATTAGTACGTGATAACCATTTACGTCTTATGAATTTGATCATATTTGGCCATCTAATTGGATGTGATTGAGTAAAAAACAATATTTTTCAAAATATTAAAAAAAATATTTTTTGTGTAACTTATAAAAGCTAGTTAAATATTACATTTACAAAAAGGTAGTCAAACTATATTTCATCGATTTCCTACTAAAATAACGTTATTAGTAGATAATTAAAACAATTTGATTATTAAATTTTTCTTAAATATTTTATTGTCGTCATGCAAATTACCAAAAAATTGTATTTCTTTAAATCTTAAATATGTTCAGAATCTCTTAAATGTTTGAAAAACATTGTAACTATTTATAATTTCATTGTTAGATTGAAAATGTTCATTTATCAAATAAGTATTACAACAACAATGGTATAATCCATATAGGGCGTTTTAAATAAAACTGTCGACTGTTATAAATTTCTATCTAATTAGCATTTAGTTGCATATTTTTAACAGTTTGTGAATTCTTAGACTACTCTAAAAGAAATTTTTTTTCATTATTTATCACTATTAAAAAAACAACTTTTTAATTTTTTTTTATATGTCCATAAGGTTGTTTACCCTTTAAGCACCTAATGCTTTGTTACATGTTTAAACTACAAAATTATATCCATGGAAAATTAAATTTATGAATTTTAGCTTGTTTTACTCTGCTGTGATTATTTTTTTTTTTTTTGAGACAGTAGACCAAACTGAACAACTCCTAGTAGATTAATTTTACTCAACGATACGCCACAAGATCACAAATCGTATCTATATGAAGCATTCAGCGTAATAATTAGAAAAAAATTCTCACAATTACCATAGTAATGGAATATATCTGGAAAAATTATGATATTTATAAAACAATATTGATATTTTATTTTTTAATAATGAAAAATATTAATCAACTAGGTGCTAATATTACTTAAAAATTAAAAAACTATGTTTAAATATATTAACCGAGTATAATTTACTTTAAAAGCAGCAAAAACTTTTATAGTAAAAAACTATTTGACAATCAATTTATCTTCATCAGCTCTAAATAATATTATTAAAATAAAATGTTAAATTTTCAAATTAAATTTTTTATTTTCAATTTGTTGAAAACTAGATGGATCATTACAAAATTATTATTCAATAATTTAATATTATTAGATTAATAATATTAACAAAAGTAAAAGCTTTACATTATTTTTTATTAAAATACTACATTTTTTGATATACAAAAAATAATAATAATAATAAAAATGCTCTTAACTATAATTCTGTTATGACCTGAGTAATTTATAGGCTATGAACCACAAAACTCATAATTAATGATCATTTTGTCATTTATGTCAAAATAATCTTCATTTTTTTTTTTTTTTTAGTAGCTTGCCAGAATCTCTTTGTTTGATCTTAATTTTCTTGCGTGTTACATCTTCAAAACTACAAAGAAATTTTAGTATAAATGTAGGTGCTAAACAATGATAACTATGGTGTAAAAACATAACCCGAATGACGTCACATAGACTCAGCCTAAAGCATAATATTGATGATTGATTATTACTCGATATCGAAATGGTAGGCGCTGTCAACGTTGGTGGACGAACAGGTGTGACAAATGATTCAACACAGTGCTGCTGGGCGTGGTATATCCATTATCATTAATGAAAGAAATCAGAAACAATGAAAACCTAAAGCAAAGGGGTTCAAACAAAGTTAAGGGATTTTGCTCAATATTACCATTAATTCATCTCTATCACCTCACCTATAAAGATTGTGCAATTATGTATGAATTCCTTAAAAATCAATTAATCAATGCTTAATCTTTAATTAAAAAATATAACGCGATAAAATGTTTTAGTATGATTTATAATTATTATGAAATAAAACTGCATATTTGATTGCATCAAGTATACAGTTTATTCAAAATCAGAGCTAAGACTTGTGGTAACACACACAAAAAATGAACGCCTTCTTTGCCTCGCATGACTAATAACAATAAGAATCATATGAGTAAAACTACTAAAATTTCATTTAAAAATTTCTCGTCAAAAGTAAAATGTGCACTTATCTATAAAGAGTGTAATATTTATTTTTACTGTAATTAATTGTTTATTCAAAAGTTAAAAGTGTCGAAAGAATACTATACAATTTGAGATTCATTATGTTGTACTTGAATTTTTTCGTTAAATTTTATGCTTATACGTGTTATTACTCTCGTACACAAGAGTTATTACTTATCAGTTTGTTGTTAAAACTTGGTTAAATTTGTCCGTAATCAATAGTTTTCAGTAATGATAATTTACAATTTTGCGATCTGAAAATATTCGTTTAATTCTAATGTGCAAATATTCCAATTGATTTCACTAGTTTTCCGGTATTCGGTTAACTCCAACAGGAGAGTTAACGCGTTTTTAATGTTGGAAAAAATGACTTTCTGCGACCACGATCACTATAAACTGTTGAACATGTACGTCATGGTTAATTGCTGATGCACAAAAAACGTAGCTATATGACTATAACAATATCGGAAAGACCGGAAGGCCAACACGGCGTCGACCATTAACGTTGATGATTCATTTCATTTATTTTGGGAGGACGAAGGGATATCGGTATAAGGTCTACAAGGAAAACGGGTTTCCGGCGTTCAGTCGGTTGTATAATGTACCGTGTGTCATGTAGCACGCGATTCGCAAGCCGACCTGGTGCGTGCACGTCGGTAGTGTTTTCCTCTGGTTCCGGGCGATTTGATATCCTACCGCCGTAGTCATCATTACATTATACGTGTGTATATATATATATATATGTACATTGTTCGAGTTCGTCATTACTAGTTACTCGCCTTATAGACGCTTGTATACGTTAAGATATTGGGGCCGGCGTATAAAGGGGTGGCGTGGACAAACTATTAAAAGCGAAGAGTAACGTTCGGGCGCTCAGCTCGAACTTGTTGGCGGAATATAAGCACTGGCATTATATTTCAGACCATCGACTACTCGGGTCGTAGATAAATCAAACGATGTCCGCAGGTCAAAACCATAACTAATACTAAACCTTTCAGCCCACCCGCCGTCAACTTACACTTCACTGTAGTATAACAGTTTTTAGGTTTTGTTGATACTATCAAACAACCGTGTCTATCGATTTTGCACCCACAAACCTGATGATACTCTATAGTTGCCATAAAGTTCAACATTATTCTATCATATAGTACCTTAATTAACTCAGCAAATAATCATTTTTTTTCTAACTACAGTCATAAATATTTTAAGTTTACATCGTATAGCAAAAAGTTGTTTTTACTTTGAATTCGTACATTTTATGTTCAAATCCGTTTGCTTATTATTTTTGAAGTATAAATTTTATTAATAGATATAAATTTGAATTATTTAAAATTATAATGAAATTTAAAAGTCACAACAAGACGACACTGTGTATTTTATTTTACAAAAAAGTTTCTTTAAATATTTCTAGTCTATTTGGTAAAAAAACAAATTTTTGGTGTAAAAGAATATTTCATAACTGAACTATCCTTTTTTTTTCTATTAGAACCCATGGCAACTCAGGGTAACGGATTTAAATTAAATTAATTACAAAAAAGTGCTTAAATATCAACATAAAATATAGAATACATCATGATTACGATAACAAATAAAAGGAAAACAATCAATTAAAAGCGAATACATTTTTTTAGGAGATCAAAGACTTCATTTGTGACAAGAAATGTTATTACTTTTTTTGTTGTTATCGAAATGAGGGCATAATATTGATGAAAAGTGATCTCCTATTTCTATTTGGTGCTATATATCTGTATATTATACTACATTTGGTGAAGATTTGTTTATCCGTTGGCTGGTCCCTACAAAAGTCACATGTTGGTGGTGTATATGTGGCCATAAGATGACTAAACTATTCTATTATTTGAGTGAATCCAATTTGTAAATACCGTAAAATGGACTTAAGTTGGTCACTTCCAAATTTATCACTTAAGCATAAGATAACTTAAGCAAATAAAATTAGAGATCTAGCTTACTTCGGATAGAGTTAACCAACTATCCAATATTATATTTTCGAGTTAACAAACAACTTTATCCTTGTCGACCGACTTAAGACAATTTTACTGTATAATCAAGTCAGCTATATTTAATGCTTTGGAGGTCATTAACAAATGATTCAAAAGAGCATAATATATTGACGAGTGAAAATCATCGTGGGATCAAGAGCATATTCAGTAAGGCCATTAATAAAAAAATACTTTAAAATTTCATTTTTTTTTACCGCTTGAAATTATTTAATGAAAAAAGAATGCTAAAAATATGAATGGAAAATTTTAATTTAAAGACGGTAATTACACAACTATATTATCTTTAAATGTAATAAACGATTTATTATTATAATTATTATATAAATGACTTAAGCAGAGTAGCTAAAAAATCTGAGTTCCTCATTTATTCCGCAAAAGTTACATTTTATGAGATAATGAAAAATCACTATAAAATATTGTCATTACTCTCTTACTATTGAAAAATATTGGGTTCGCTAATGACCTCATATCAATATCAGAGTGAAATAAAAATAAAATAATTTCTATCAAACATAAAATTATATTAAAAATTTTAATTTATGTTGAAAAATTCATTATTTATTTCATATTGCATTAATTAATGACATAGATTTTTTCTCGTTCATTAAAAATTATCTTGTTACAAGTTGATTTTATTCTTACCATCGTGAAATAACAATTGAGAAAATTAAATTCACTTGAATTTACGCACATTTACTTATAGTATTTTTATTAATTATAAATAGCAACTTCAAATGAATAAATTCATCTTAATTTTCGTATTTCAATGGTATATAATTATGAAAGAGTGCAATTCAAAGGAATAATAAAACATTTATAAAATAAAAAAGATGATTAGCCAATTATTAAACATTTACGACTTTATGATAATTTTACTATTTTATAATTTATCTAAAATGAAATCATAATAGACAAAAATTATTAATTGAGTACGGACATTTAAACGTATAGCAAATTCATTTCGTTTAACTAATTTTATATATGGTACATATTGTTCTTTTAGACTATAATAAAACATTATTAAAACATTTTTATTAATTTACACAAAAGGTAAAATTCATCAATTATGTGTTTAAAATATACAGTTATTTTTCAAGTACTGATGCATTAGCTTACAATACTTAAAAAATTGAATTTGGTTTTATAAAATACACGACACAAGTAATTCTTCTTTTATTCAAAACTAATGTTTTAACACTCAGGTTTTTTGTCTAAAATAAACGTATTGTAATAGATTAACTATTTTTACTGCGTATTTTATCATTATAATGTTTGTAGAATACTATGAAAATAACCAAAAAGTTCTTTAGACACTTTCGTTGATCTCTTGAGGGTCATTTCATTTTGCAATATAGCACATTCATATTTAATACATATGTTTACAGGAAATATGAATATGTGCTGGTATAGTTTACAACTGTTATTGTGTGTGTATAATATGTATTTATGTTTTCGCACTATGGTTCATAACTCATAAGTATTACACCCGGGAGCTTTCGACAACCTAAATAGTAATACTAAATGTTAAAGTTAAACTCCGTTTAGGAGCTACCTATTTTAAACTGCTAGTTTTATGAATTATTGATATTTATACTTGTATAAATATCCTTATTTTTAAACTGTTGTTCTGCAAAAAAATTTATGCGTATTCGCCTTTCATAAACCTCTTGTTCTTCATAACTCACACAATCTAACGATTTTGCTACAGGTCACCGCGCAATAAAATCAACTTGTTTTAATGATTTATTAATTCATATGGATTTGAAAAGTTCATTTTAAAATTCAAGAGTCTAAAATAAAAATTATTACCAATCAAGGGACTTCAAAATCATTTAATGAAATTTTATTTACTTTTTTGATTATCACCATTATAATCATCTTGAAAACTCGGGTTGTTACTTAATGAAACGAGAGTGCTAAAGATAATTTATCCAAAGCTGGGCATAAATGAGTTAATGAGTTAATTTTAAGTTAAAAAGTTTAGTTAAATTTTTTGGATTGTTAGAAATATTTAGATTTTATGTTAACTTATTTTTTCCTTTGTTCAATGAAAACAAGATATCGTCAATTTAACTTTTAACTTAATTTATTAAAAAAAATAACGGATTATAACTGTTAATTCGTTAATTTTTTTAAATCTAACATAACTTTAACAAGTTAAAAAAAATCATTAATTTGCCTAACCATAATTTTACTTACCTCGTAAGTCTTCTGAAATAGTCAAATGTAATGTTTTCAAAAACACTTAAACATTATTATGCGTTTTATCGAAAAACAATTTTAAAAAGTATATTTTTAATCATAATTAGCTTAAATTTTTTCTGCCATACTACTAAATTGTATTATTATAGCTATTCTTTTAATTTAAATTTCGGTACATAATATTCATACTTTCAATGCGTCAACGTTAAATTAATTTTTATGTATAAAATTGATTTATTAACATCAAAATTATTTTAAATTTCAACATAGATTAGGTCGATTTTTTTTAAGTTTAATAGCTGTGCTGTAGTGAATAAAGTACTTGGATAGTGTTAATATACACTTTACGTACAATAAATTAAAAATTTTAGAGAATTGATGGAGGGTGAAGAAGATCGATAAAAAAACAGGCTATGTTATCTTGTCACAATAATATACGGTCGTTTGGTAGGCGTTTGCACGTGTACGTCGTTTATCTGAGCATGCTGACACGGTATGGTATTCAGTAGTATTATTATAACTGTTGATACGTCCAGGCAATAATTCACTGCTTAGGTTGGGTTGAATATATGTGAACCATTCTAGTGAATTCGATGGGAGTAAAACGGTGGTGCCGTATATATTGTTGATATGCACAGGTTGTAAATCAATTTCACAATAAACGAATTGCTTTTGGCGGTGGCGGTCGCGTGAAGAGGTGGGGGGAGGGGAAATGAAGTGGACCGAAAGCTCGGCAGCATAAAAAGAACGGCGGTCGGTCATAAGGTACAGAGGGTATACGGGAGA